TGAAGTTATCATTCTGCATATGCATATTTGTATTTAACCTAATTAACCTCACAGGCATATTTCCCTTTTATGAAGTAGGCTGCTGTTACTGCCAATTTATGGATTGTGAATACAACATATGTTTTGAGATAAAAACTGAGGAAAATGTTTCTTCCTTCTCACCTTATTTAAGTTGATTATTATTTAGTGCTTTAAGGTTTCTAAAAAGATGTTCTTGTCTTTACAATAAATAAATGCTAACAGAAAGAAGCAGCCTCTTAATTGCTACTATGATTTAACAAGCACTTACCTTATTGGATAAGAAAAAAATGTTACTGAGTGAGCTAGCGTATAAAAGCTACTAGATCCTTCTTCCACTACTTAAACTTCTAAGAAGAAACTTGAAGAAACTCAGAGGAAAAATAAAATCCTAAATATGACTTCTATCCCTGAAGAAGTTACAAATGACCTTTTCTGTCTGGGGCACTTGAGAAGAGCACTTCCCTGTCTTGAGACTTGAGAAGAGTCTCTCAGAATTGGCAAAGGATAAATCTTAGGATATTTAAGTTTCCACTAACTGCCATGGATGAGGCACTACACTCTTAAAAATGGGAGGAAAAATTTCAAAGACAATGAGATTCATCATGGATGAAGTATGATATACAACAGATTCTCCCATTACCATTCCTCTCCCTTCTCTCACCCTCTTCTTGTTTTTTTTGAGACGGAGTCTCGCTCTGTTACCCAGGTTGGAGTGCAGTGGCACGATCTCGGCTCACTGCAACCTCTGCCTCCCAATTTCAAGCAATTCTCTACCTCAGCCTCCTGAGTAGCTGGGATTACAGGCGTGTGTCACCATGCCTGGCTAATTTTTGTATTTTTTAGTAGAGATGGGTTTCACCATCTTGGCCAGGCTGGTCTTGAACTCTTGACCTCGTGATCCATCCACCTCAGCCTCCCAAAGTGCTGGGATTACAGGCATGAGCCACCACGTCCGGCACTTTTCTTTAAAGAGTAAAGGAATAGAAGGAAAAATGCAAGTAAGTGAGGTAAAGCATCACAACAAACCAGAATAATGTTACATTGTGAAGACCAAGCAAAACAGCATTTGTCTATTGGTCAAAGACACATCGAGATACATCTTATGAAAACCGATGTAAAGGAAACCAGGGAGTAGACTTAAAATGACTCCTTGCTTATTCTGCCTCCACAGCCTGCAGCCTGAAGCCATGGTTTGAGGAACTGAGGATCTTGTAAGAGACGACAGCAGGGAACTCTCTGCACACCAGGTCTTCACTGATGCCCAAGTACAATGTGTTTATTCCATTAAAGAAAACAAACTTAAGGAAGACAGTAAATACCAGCAACAGCAAAATAAGGATTCTCTGATGGGTCCAGACAGATGTTTCTTTGTGCACATATATGGGAAACTTACAATTGCCTTTCTGTCCTTTCCAAACACCTAACATAAAAATCTCGTCCTTCAGGCTATTAAATGCGCTGGTACGATCATTACTAGGGTGTATTCATGCCATTATGAAGTTAATGTGTTCTAACACTAACAGGACATTAATTATCAAGGTGGAAATGAAATGGAGAGCAGAGGAATGTGTCTAGATATGAATTTCTCCATCATTCTTTAAAAGGAAGATGTGTTTCTGGGTCCTCCTGTTTCTTTTATGACTCATAATACATGCATCCATGCATGCACACTTTATAAACAATGTTATATGCAGCATTTTAGGCAGGAAGACCACCATAAACAAAGGCACTGAGGAGGACTGAGTTCACTCTACGTTGAAGGTTAAGATGCCTGATGTGAATTAAGCCAAAAATTTGCACTGAGAAGTCATAGGAAATAAAGTCAAAGGATAAGATTTTGCCAGATTTCAGAGGACATCAAAATCCAAAGAGAGTGTAGTTTTATTTAACAGGCAGCAGATAGATGGTACAGATTCACAATAACATGAAATGGTCTAGAATGTATAGTCATATCATGGTATATGAGATCTGTGGTGTGGCTATGGGGAGATGGGAGGATGAGAGATACTAGTAATTGTCTGGGAGGTTGCTGCCACAACTTAGCTAGAGGCAACATCAAGCATGATGTCAGTGGGACTGAGGTAGAAAGTGCGAATGCGGTATCTTAAAAGGAGAAATGTAGGTGGGAACTGTGATAGTGTGGGTATAAGGCACAAAGGCAAGAAAAGGTTCCTGATGCCAAGATCCAATAGTACACCATTTAAGTAATTGTTATTATCAGTTACTGTGCCCTTCTCTGGTTCCAAGCATATCTGAGTTTTACAAACCTAATTTCTTTCCATCGTCACATCAAGTCTGAGAGGATTTATAATTCTAGTTTACAATGAGAAAGATGGGATCTTCGAAACATTAAGCAGCTTGCTAAAGATCACCCTGCTGCAAGAGTTAGGGTTTGAACCTGTGTCTGTCTACCTAACTCCATGCTTCTTACCCATGCTATTGCTTCCCCAGTGTCAAAGCCTGCTCTTCACCACAAATCCTTACCTAAATACATGCATGCACCTAAATATTCAATACTTCCCTTTGCTTTCATTAGAGTATAACATCACACATATGATTTCTGATATCTGGATGTTAATATACATGGCAAGTGGGAGCTCCAAAGTGCTGAACAGATGTTAGGTATTATTTTTATTATTACGTGGGCATTTTCCTTCAGTGACTAATGTCAGGAAATAGAAAGGGCTCCATTACACACGTCTACCTTGTCTACAGCCCACCCTAAGGCTTACTGTGAGATAATTTTCTTTTGTAACAAGATATAAAGAACAAATTAAGAATCTGTGTTCATGCATTTAGGAATTTTGCAGAAAGGCCCATCTGCAATTTTAGGTGCAGGCTGTAGCATGAGTAGATGCTGTTCAAACAACCTGCCCTACTTTCTTCAGCAATGAGAAAAGAAAAAAAGGTTAACGTGAAACACACTCTAAACTAGCTGGTTTGCTTTCCTATAAACTTTAGCTACAAAGAAGAATCAGTAATAATAAGAAAGAAATGGATCAAAGTACCCACACTGATAGGATCAGATGCCTTTCCTGAGTTGGATGCTGGCAGTGGGTGTTTGTTTGGGTTTTCAGAAAGCACCCAGCTTTTCTAAAGTCCCCACGTCTCTCCACTGACATTCACAGACTGCTAGTGCTGAACAGAATCTGAAGGGTTGTTTTACAAAGGAGGTAACTGAGGTCCTAAGAGACGAACGTTCAGTGCTCTGCATTTTCTGTCTGATCATCAATATGTCAATTATACCACTTGAACAACATGTTAGATGTTTTGGAGCATGCAAGGGGTCTATCATCAGCCCCTCCTGATTTTTTTTCTTGTTTCCCTACCCAGTTGAAACCCCACAAGTAGTGATTTTAACAGCAGCCTTAAAGGCTGAGAATCCACAGTCTAGGATCCAAGCTCTTCCAGGGCATCTCTCTCCAGCAGAGACTTTGCTGAGAATTTCTAATACCAGTGCTGATCCCAATGAGGTGTGCTGTTTATCTCCTCTCTTACCATCTCAGAGTGACCATGCACTCAGAAAACCCTAGGGTTCCTTCCCCTTAGCCTTTGGTCATGCTTGGGTCTCACCCACTCTCAAAAATAAAACCCTATTTTGATCTAACTGGATCTGACTGCCCCAATCTGCCCACCACATTGCTATCAAAAGTAGTTTCTTCTTCTTTTTTTTTTTTTGTAAGTTTCTTTTTTTTTTAATTGCATTTTAGGTTTTGGGGTACAAGTGAAGAACATGTAAGATTGTTGCATAGGTACACACATGGCAGTATGATTTGCTGCCTTCCTCCCCTCTCCTATATTTGGCATTTCTCCCCATGTTAACCCTCCCTATCCACCGCTGTCCCTCCCCTATATCCCCCCGACAGACCCCAGTGTGTGATGCACCCCTCCCTGTGTCCATGTGTTCTCACTGTTCAACACCCACCTGAATGAGAACATGCAGTGTTTGATTTTCTGTTCTTTTGTCAGTTTGCTTAGAATGATGGTTTCCAGGTTCATCCATGTCCCTACAAAGGACACGAACTCACTGTTTTTTATGGCTGTATAGTATTCCATGGTGTATATGTGCCGCATTTTCCCTGTCCAGTCTATCATCAATGGGCATCTGGGTTGGTTCCAGGTCTTTGCTATTGTAAACAGTGCTGCAAGGAACATTTGTGTACATGTGTCCTTATAATAGAACGATTTATAATCCTTTGGATATATAGCCAGTAATCGGATTGCTGGGTCAAATGGAATTTCTATTTCTAGGCCTTGAGGAAGTGCCACACTGTCTTCCACAATGGTTGAACTAATTTACACTCCCACCAACAGTGTAAAAGTATTCTTATTTCTCCACATCCTCTCCAGCATCTGTGTCTCCAGATTTTTTAATGATTGCCATTCTAACTGGCATGAGATGGTATCTCAATGTAGTTTTGATTTGCATTTCTCTAATGACCCGTGATGATGAGCATTTTTTCATATGTTTGTTGGCCTCATACATGTCTTCTTTTGAAAAGTGTCTGTTCATATCCTTCACCCACTTTTGAATGGGCTTGTTTTTTTCTTGTAAATCTGTTTTAGTTCTCTGCAGATTCTGGATATTAGCTCTTTGTCAGATGGGTAGATTGAAAAAAATTTTTCCCATTCTGTTGTTTGCCAATTCACTCTAATGACTGTTTCTTTTGCTGTGCAGAAGCTGTGGAGTTTGATTAGGTCCCATTTGCCTATTCTGGCTTTTGTTGCCAATGCTTTTGGTGTTTTGGTCATGAAGTCCTTGCCTGCCTATGTCCTGAATGGTTTTGCCTAGGTTTTCACAAAAGTAGTTTCTGAAAGTGCCCTCTGAAAGAAGTTTCTAAAAATATTCCCCCCTTAACACACACACACACACACACACTTTAAGGGAAGCGGTTTCACTAAGTTGCCCAGGTGACGGTGCAGTATTCACAGGTGTGGTCATGCACTATACCCTCAAACTCCCGGCCTCAAAGGATCCTCTCGTCTCAGCCGCCTTAGTAGCCAGGACCACAGACAGGCATCACCATGCCCAGCTCTGGAAATCCCCTTTAAAAATTCCACTACCTGCTAAATAAACTCTAAAGTCCCCTGACTGGCAGTTGAAGCCCCATCCACTATCTGCCTGCATCCGTTCTCCTAATTTCTCCATGTGCCGTAGGCTCATCACCAGGCAGAATCCAGGTTGTTTCCTGGGCTTAACAAGTGGTCATTTCTGGAGTTTGGCATGCCTCTTCTCTTCTACTGTGGAACTGCCATCTAGTTTCCCAGGCCTGGCTCAAATATCACTGTTTCTAGAAGAACCACTTTCTATTATAGCAACATGTCAATTTCTGCATTGTGATGAACAGTTATTTATGCATTAATTCAACCAACAATTTATTAGCACTTGAGTGGCAGTACTCTGCTGGGAATACAAAAGCACTTGGAGTTTAACATACAAATAATGAAAAAGTGAAACATTTAAATAGCAGGATATGCTTCTGGAGGTGGTGTGGTTTTCTTCTCCTAGGCAGACTATAACCTCCCTGAGGACAGGGAATGAGCCCTTTTCTGCATTCAGTATCTCCCACAGCACTTACCATCTGTGGACTCACAGCACTTGCAGGAGATCTCACTTACAGAGTAAATATGAAGGTATTATAATTTCTCTGCTTATCCTTGAATAGACTCATATTAATCAATTTTTAAAATTCCCGATAGCCAGTCCAGTGCATGGCATATAGTACTCAAACAGCAAAGCTCATGAAATGAATGAATAGAAGGAGGCAAGAAATAAATTACCATGACAGCAGGGATATCTCTACCTTATTCACCTTTGTGTTCCTGGGGCCCAGCACAGGGCTTAGTACTTAAGGGGACACAACAAACATATGCTAAATAGCCATAGCTACTGTTTTAGGGGAACTCATTTCTCAAACAACCGCCAAGGTTTCTAGTCTTCTGTCCCAGTGCACACTCAAAAGCTCCAGAGGCAACATATAACAAGAAACAGAGGTCCTGGTCCTAACTCTGATGGCAGTGAGGCTTATCTTCCTCTCTCTGGCAGCTGCTCTGCTGGGAAGAGCCTCAGGAGTCCCCACCCCTCCCAGTACATTACTCCATCACCAAAGGATTGGGTATGGATGAACCACTTCCAGATGAAGACTCATGAACAGTTCACAGAAAGAGTTAGTTAGCAGGGCCAACTCCATCTCTTACTTCATAGCCAGGTGTACCCCTGGCATAGCCTTGCCATTCTGGGCCAAGGGTCATCAGGCCAATGACCACTCAACTATGAATCTGGAAATGAAAAACGGAAGCTAAAAATGAAGTTAGGTGAGGCTGTGCCAGGTTAATGGATGGAGATCACAATTCATGCCTAAGAAAAGGCGGGTGATAGCACAGGCTGGCTGGCACTTATAACCCCCACATGCCCCTTCCCAGAACTGCTCTAAGGCCTGTGGCCTGGATGGCACAGCCCAGTACCTGCTTTGCCTCTGTGTAACGTGCTTCAAATTCATTCTTGAAGGTGACGTGTAAATGTAATTTCATATAGAAAAATCTTATTTCATAATGGGAAAGAATATCCTCAAGGGGAAAAGTGATTATCTGGGGTCAAAATACAACTTGCCATTTTTTTTTAAGCCAGCATTTATAAATTGGGAAACTGCATATTAAAGTCTTGACCTATTTTTAAATACTAAAATATCTAGCAGCCTGGGATCCACATACCCCGTGATAGTATCAACTATAGCTGAGCTAACCCCCATTCAGAAAGACCAAGTGCCTGCTAGTTTACCATAGTCCTCATGCAATCATTATTTTCCAATACTCTTACCCAGCTAACCTATGACAATGTAAACTTGAAAACCATATTTATCCAGTCAACCCAAGCTAAAGTCTAAGCAGCATTTCTGACTTCACCCATTCCTTCTCCTCACATCCGGTCAATTAGAAAGTTCTATTTATCTTTTAATGTTTCTAAAACTCTCAGTTGTCCAAATCACTCCCTCTGGTTTTCACTCTAATGATCTGTTCACATCCCTGGGACGGAATTCCAATGATCCTATGCTTTTTCACTGTACTTTCGTAGCCAGGGGCACTCTTAGCATGGCCTTGCTGTTCTGGGCCAGGAGTCACAAGACCAATGACCACTCAACTATGACGTTAGAAATGAAAAACAGAAGCTAAAAATGAAGTTCAGTGAGGCTGTTGCAGGTTAATGGATGGAAATTACAATTCATGCCTAAGAAATGGCGTGATCATGCCTTTTCGTGCCATTCATGCCTTCAGCCCGTTTAGGCCCTCTCTTCCACTTGCCTATTACTAGAACATTTCTTTCCTTATACCTTAGCTCCCTTGCTGCTTCTTTTCTCCATCTTACTCATCTGGGAAACCACAGCTCTTGCCAAGTCCAAATCTGCACCTACTCCGCAACTGTACCCAGGCTGCTGAACATGTTTGTTGAAAATCAGTCCCATGCTGACAGACAAGTACTGTTTTAAACTTATGACCACTAATCTCAGGTGGATTCTTAGTTTAGCCTGGCAATCCTAGTACATTTCCCAAGTCTATCATTCTTCTCCTTTCCTAGATGACTATTTCATACATTTTCCTCTCTTTAGAAATCTCCTCCCCACCCTCAGCTGGAAAACTGCACTTTGTATTTTCCAAAGAATATGCAGTTGAAGGAGAATTTCCACATACTCCCACTTTTACCAACCTTCCTGTTGGCTGAATAAGTGACTGGATGAAAAATGCTCAAAGATGTAAAGAACCATAAAGGAGAAATCATTGGACTGGGAGGATTAGGGATAGAAATGGAGCTGGAAATAAGATTGACCAGTAAGAAGGAGAGATTAATAATGGAATAGTTGGAGCTCGTAGTTAAGAACATGCCTTTCGTTCTGTGGGAAATGGAGGGCCATCAAAAATCTTTAAACACGGCAATAACGTATGTTATACTTGAAAAAATAAATCCAACATTTTGTATTTGGACTAGAACCATCAGTTCAAAGACTAGTACAAATAGTCCATGCAAGAAGAAATAAGGTGTTGAATTTGAAAGGTTGAAGGATACAAAAGGAAATATATATAAGGGCATCTAGCTGGCTGGGCAAGAGTTGCTGCTTTAATCCTATTTTCTGATTTATATCCACTGACATTTATTACACCCTTCTTATATACATATAAGACACCAAGCCTGGAACTTTCACATCCTCATGGGTAAGTTTTATTACCTCTCATGTTATGGATAAAGAGCCTAAATCTCTATAGATTGTAAAATATTCAGCAAGTACTTGGTAGGCCATGAAAAAAAAAAAATCAAACCCAGGCCTCTTCTTTCTGATTTATGACAAATGTTCAACCTAATGAGATTTCACTGTCTAACAGTCTAGCACTGGAATCTAAAGCTCATCACTCCAATGCCAATGTATTTTGCATTAAATATTTTGTCTCAGATGATCCTAGAAATGACTCTGGAAAGTCAAATTTTTCTTTTGGATTAGATAATTTGACACTAGTCTACATTTCTCATCTCTTATCCAGTTCCCTGACCCCACAAATTCTACATAGTCAGCTACACTAGACTACTCAACACTCCCTGCTTACACATCTATACGAAATTTCCTCCTTGCCCCTCATCAGTTTCTACATCAGTAAAATGATGGTAACAGTACCAGACATTGTAGAGACATGCAAAGCACATAAATGTCTCACATATAATAAATACCAAATAAATTTTAATAATAATTATCCTTGCCTCTTTCAACTTTACTTCTTTTCAAGTTCAGTCCACACCACCTCTCTAGATTGCTCCAGAAGGAATTAAATGGCTCCTCCTTCACCTTTTTGTAATTCAATCTTAATATATTTCATAGTTTCATTTATATTCTAGCTAACCTACACATCTCTTTTTCCAATTGGAATGCAAAAGCAGAACCATATTTATATTTTTAATCCCTCATGAAGCTAGCACAGTGCGATGGATACAATAGGTCCCAAAATAACTACTGAATACAGTAAAGTATATTATAATTAGTAAATTGTTAATTAATTTTAAAATACATTTGTAGGGAAGTAATGATTATATAACATGCATCATTAGAACAATGGTATCTACTAGTGTGCCACTTCGATAGTCTCATTCACCTATGATTTAGGAAAAAAGAAATTGTTTCTTGTACACAATAATATAAATAAGGTAACACAACGGATTTACCAAGAGAGTATTTTTGTTATAATATCTTTGAAGTGTACAATATCCCAACATACAAAACCATCTCACCAGCTTCCTATCCATTTCAACATTCCTACCAGAATCATCTGATTGAGCTTGTCCAAGGTCTTTCAGTAGCAAACTACTGGACAGCTTTAGTTCTCAACAAATGTTTCCTTATAGTGAGCCGAAATCAAAACCTCTACTCATTAATTCTAGCTCTGCAATTTATATTAATAAAGTTTATACCCTAAGGAATTGATAATTAGAACCACCTTCTAAACTGCAAGCTGCATCCCAAACAAAAGGAGAACACATATTGAATTTACAGCAGGATAAACCGTTTCATTGCCTACTCTTTTTCAGCTGAAGAGATACAAACGGGTGTCAATGCTATAGATAAGAGTGCTACAAAAGCATAGATAAAGTCTAGCAGGCAAATGCAGCGGGGAGATACAGAGCAGGGTGGGTGCACAAATGTGCACAGAAAAAAAGAGCCTGCAGCCAAACAGCTGTGCTTACTGGGCAGTCCAGTCCCTCATGGGCCACATCTCATCAGAAACTTTTTATTATTGTTATTATTTTTGGGATAGAGTTTCACTATTATTGCCCAGGCTAGAGTGCAATGGTGTGACCTAAGCTCACTGCAACCTCTGCCTCCTGCCTGGGTTCAAGCGATTCTCCTGCCTCAGCCTCCTGAGTCACTGGAATTACAGGCACCCACCACCATGCCCGGCTAATTCTTTGTATTTTTAGTAGATATAGGGTTTCACCATGTTGGCCAGGCTGGTCTCGAACTCCTGACCTCAGGAGATCCACCTACCTTGGCCTTCCAAAGTGCTGGGATTACAGGTGTGAGCCACCTCACCCGGCCCTCATCAGACTTCTATGCTTCCATATCCTCCTTCCCTAAGATAACTAAAGTTTCAGGCTGTAGCTGGTTTCAAGCTAGAGGATATTAATAGTTGACCATGTTATCATTCCTTTTGCTCTAAGCATAATGAGCCCATGGAAACTCTAAGAAAGTTCAATGCATCTTAGATACATTCAAACACAATCCAGAATTGGAAAAGACAACAAACAGAACAATATGGCCTAAACAATGGGACTGCTTGCATAAGAAAATAGCTCTTGACATCTAGGCAGGGGCTTTCTTCTTATATACATTTGCTCATCAAGGGGTATTGGCAATGCCATCTTACAGATAAAAAACACAGCATGATGAGCAACTGTTGAGTACATAATATCTGCTGAGCACCCTGCTGTTAGAGCCTCGGATAACAGATCTAGGCACTAAAAAGTATTGTTACATAATTACTGTCTCAGAAAACTTAAAAGTAGATTTTTAAGAAGCTGCCCTCACTCGCTTCTGAGAAGCTTTTAAGTATATCGTTTATCCACTGCAAGTCTACAGAACTAGATACTTAGTAAAAAATACTGAAGATGAAAGAGTTAAGAAACAGCCACTGGAGGGCCAGGTGTGGTGGCTCACACATGTAATCCCAGCACTTTGGGAGGCCGAGGTGGGCGGATCATGAGGTCAGGAGATTGAGACCACCCTGGCCATGATGAAACCCTGTCTCTACTAAAAAATATAAAAAATTAGCTAGGCGTGGTGGCGCATGCCTGTAGTCTCAGCTACTCAGGAGGCTGAGGCAGGGGAATCACTTGGATCTGGGAGATGGAGGTTGCAGTGAGCCGAGATCGTGTCACTGCACTCCAGCCTGGTGAAAGAGCAAGACTCCATCTCAAAAAAAGAAAAGAAAAGAAAAGAAAAGAAATAGCCACCGGATTTTAAAAACTCATAGTGACATGATTGAGTATTTTTTCCATTTTTCAATTTCTGTTACTGCTATCATTTACACACAGTTGCAACTCCCACCTCTCAAACGGTTCCTGCTGGTCCTGTTCAGCTTCTATAAAAGGGAGGACATCAAGCTTACTCATGTTAGGAGATTCTGACACATCTCAAGATAAAATAGAAACATACTTCCTTTCAAATATTACTATGATTTCTGCTTAGGAACAAGAACTAACACTAAGAAACAGTCTGTCTCTAAATAAAAATGCCTTGTCTATTTTTGAAGAGTTTCTGTTATCTATCAAAGTTTACAGTAACCACCAATAAAACACAGACAATACCATACCACGTATGTCACGTGCTGGACCCAACGGTGTTAACTGTAATGAACCTACATGGAAGGATATGAAGCACAGCTGGTCCCTAAATTAGGAACAGGCTGCATTAGCCAGGTTGATACACAAATTACCCTGTAATTCAGATTCCACTTTCCTTAAAACAAAAAAGGGGAAGAGGGCAAATACATAGGGATTATTCTCTTAGATTAGGCCATAAAATATCATGAAATAATGATAACGATAATTAAGAACAGCAAACGCTCACAAAGCTTTTACTATGTACAAGGTAGTTTTAAAGCATATACACATTTAAAACTCATACAAATCTTAGAAGGTAGGTACTATTATTATCCCTGTTTTGCAAATGAGGAAACTGAGGCAGAGAGAAGCTAAGTAACTTGACCAAGGTCAAAAAGCTGTAACAAGTGGCAGAACTGGATCCTCACAGGCTACTCTTAATAAACACAAATTAAAAAAGAAAAAGAGCTGTTTGAAGCTTCTTCTAAAATACATCCTATCTAGATGTTCCTTTCCCTAGACTCCCTCTTCCCAGAGGCCTAAAGGAGACCCTTGTCATATTTGACATTTTACAGCCAATTCCAATCTGAAAGCTTCACTTTAGTTCTGCATCATCCAACATGGTAGCCACTAGCCAAATGTGGCCATTTAGGTTTAAATTATTTTTAAGAATTGATTAAAACTAAATAATATGAAACATTCGGTTAGTTAGTCACATTTTCCACACTTCATGCGCTCAACTGTCCAAACTTCAGGGTCCAGTGGCTACCATACCGGAGAGCGGAAAGAAACTTTCCAATCTTCATATAAAGTTCTTTGGCCAGCTTAGCTATCCAACAAACTTTGTCTATAAAGGGCCAAATGCCAAATATTTGTAGGCATTTTTGTTGGCCTACATATTTGTTGGCTTTGCAGGCAGTATGGTCTTTGTAACAATTACTCAACTTTACCACTGTAGTGCAAAGGATCCACAGATAATACATAAACCAATGAATGTGGTTATGTTCCAAAGAAACTTTATTGCGGAATCAGGCAGCTGTCCTGCAGGCCACAGTTAACTAACCCGTATTCTAAATGACTCTGGAGTTTTCACATGAATTTTTCCTTAATATCTGATCTCCTACTACCCTGCTACCTCTCTGCCCTAACCAGGCAGGGAAAGAACTGCATCAGGATTACAGGCTCTCTCTGTACTCTCTGTGGAGAAAAACCTGTCTCATGTAACTCTCTTTTCTTATTTCATCTCTTTCCCCTCACGAGGGCAACTGCACATCCTCTAACCCAGTAGTTTTTAGGAAGATTAAAATAGAGATTTTTGGGCTCCATCTGCAAAGCCTGATTTAGTGGGTCTGAGGTGGAGCCCAGGAATATGTACAGTGATGAGCCCCATGGTGGTTTTAATCTTGAAGGTCTGTGGATCACAGTATAAAAACACTGTTTGCCATTTAAATGCTAGGTAGGCAAAGGGATGAAGAGAATAAATTATTCCCTAGTAGCTGTAATCCCCCAACCACAGAGGAAAAGCTATCACTTAACCTCAGCCCCAGGAAAGTCCAGGTGTCAGCAGAGCAGATGAGGGCACAACTGAAGTTTCTAATGGGTCCAGCAGAAAAGAGCTCTGAGTGGATGGAAGCCTAAGGAAGAGTGGTATCTGCCTGGCCTGGGAGGTAGGGGTATTAGGAGCTTTTCAAAAGGACCTCGGGTTGACATGCCCCACACCCACCATGCTCCCGGAATATGGAGTTCTGTCCTCTCTGGTGTTCCTGAAAGCCAGAGGCGGCACTAAGACCCTTTAAGAGTCTTTATTTTTTTAAAATTGCTTTACAATTTAATTCATTCATTATTAGCTGTGACCTTGTGCAAGTTCCTTAACATCCCGGTGCCTCAGTTTCCTCATAAAATGAAACAGTATACAAAGGATTCTTGTGAAAATCAAATAAAATAGTATTTGCAAGGCACTCAGAACACTGCTTGGCACAGAGTAAGTGCTCTATCAGTGCTTGTTAAATAAATAAAAATTTCATTTAACATTTAATAAGCACCTTCTATGTGCTGGGTAGAGTGTTAGATGACAAAATATAGAAATAAAGAGGACCTTAAAAGAGATGGAAGTTACACTGTTGTATATGAAAGGCTTTCTCTGATCAAGTAATACCCCTTCTCTCATTGCCCTGTCTCTTTATCTTGCTTACTTTTGTTATTAGCACTTATTACAGGACATCTAATAGATACCCATGAAATGCATGCTTACCAGACTCATCTACTAAATGGTATTCATAAGGATAAAGATTTTGTTATATTCACAACTGTGTACTCCAGCTTCTTAACAGTGCTTGGCGTTTAGCAAATGATCAAAAGCTATAAAATAAATGAATGAGTGAATGAAGAACATTTAATGGACAGCTGTTATGATATTTTGTGAAGATCAGATAAATGTTAAATGTTTTAGAGCTTCTAACTTTTAATCATATGCATATTTTAAAATTTGAAATCTAGTCAACTTCTCCCATATTAAAAAAAATATCCAATAGCAATACCTGTCAAAAAGGCATTTGTATTTTCAATCAAGACCAAGAGATTCTACCTGGCTACTTAACCTCTACAAACTAATATTGGTTTATAGCTTTATATAGGTATTTTTTAAATCCCCATATTATTCTTGAGAAGGATGGGATAGACAACAGGCAAGAGAAGTTGCTTTGTCCAGACATAACCACAGCAACACCAAATGATTCAAATTTCCATTATAGGAAAATATTCCCATTACATAGGAACTACTGCAATGACAATCATGGCAAAGTCTCGGTAGAACTAAGAATAAAATAGATTTATGAATAAACATTCTCACTCATCAATTCAGCCAGCCTCCTCTTCCACCAACTTCTAAACATCTTTGGATTACTGCTTAGGTCATCATTCTTACTTTTATTTACGAATAGCAATTATACTCCTTAAATGTCACCTTTTGGCTACAAGTCAATTCAACATCCACAATTTAGATTATTGCAATACTTCATCATTGCTAGATGATAATGGCATCCTTTGTCAATACATACTGAGTTGAGCGGAAGGCACAATCCATAGATAAATGGCAACATGTGGACCCTATCCTTACTGAGCATGAGTTTTTGTTCTTTTTTTTTAGGTGGTAAAGTCACTGAAGTATAATAGTAATCTTCATTACTCCTGACATAATTAATCCAAATATTATGCCCCTCTTACCACACATACACACAAATAGTTTCTTGCTTCTCACGGAATAATAAAGGAAAACAGATTCACACTTCGGGGTCATAGAGTCCAACTCTATCTCATTATAGAGGAGAAAACTGAGTTCCAAAGAAGTTAGAAGACTAGTTCAAAGCTACACAACTAGTTTCTGGCAGCACCACAGCAAAAACTCTAGTCTTCTGACTCCCAATTTAGGGGTCTACAATTATGAGCTTGATGATCCACATAAACTGGCAACTCTTCCTCCTAGTTTTTCCCTTTATGATGTTTTCAGCTTTGTGTAGAAGAAATTTAGTTATTAAATAAAGTACCTACAAACCCTTTAATTGTAAGTGTCCCATAAATATTTGAGTGAAGTGAACCAAATTTGGGTATGACTTATTGCCATAGGAAGCAGAATGGTTAACACTTAAGACTATCCCTTTTGTGATTTTAGTTTCCATAGTGATAAATAACATTTACTGCTACATGTGGTCTGGCTTACATCTATGAACAAGCATTTCCTGATGAATGGCAACTCCCACAAGATACAACTTCCCAAATATTTTAGGCAGCTGATGAAGAAAAAAAAAAAAAACACTGCTCACAGAAAAGATTGATAATCTATTAGGTCATTCATTATCAAAAGGCACTCTATATTTGCTATGATAAGGCTGATTCTCTGACTTTATAAATTTGTTTCATAAGGGAAAACATTTGGGCTTTGCCAAACAACTTAACAGATAGGATTATAAAATTTAGGTTTACGAGAACCATGCCATAAATTTGATTGAACAACTTAAATCATGATAGTTTTCAGTCCTACACAATGTCAAAGATATATTTCATATTTTAACTCTTCGGCTGTTAGTTTTTGATAGTAACACCCCTCTTCTAATGTGTCTGTTGCATATTTGGAACCTACCAATACAGTCAGTCCATCTGGACATAAGCATGGAGCTGTGTAAGGAGGAGAAATCACTGAAAGGAAGTCATGAGCTTCAATCAATACCCACCTAGTCATTTGCTGTCTCCAGCTGGCTTTTGCGTTTGGTAGTTTTATTTTTAAGAACTAAACTTATCAAAATGTTCAAGGTATTGGATCATTAAAAATACAAGGAGAACCTAAAAAGTGTATGTATGCAATTATACATTTAGAAATATTTTTTCTCCCAGCACCCTCTTCCCAGAAGGCTGTAACATTAGAAACTTACATCAAAGCCTTTGCTATTTTGAAATTTTGTGTTGCAGTTGAGGCCTTGTTGAGATACAGGGAAGGGGGGTCAAATTTTTCGAGGAGGACAGGTTGAATTAGTATCTTATGTTCCCTGGATCTCTATGATCTCTCCCGTGTATAATTACAGAAGCCTGTACAAACTGTTTCTAAGAACATTACACCAAAATTGCCTTTGGTGAGAACAAGACAACTGTTCACAGTCTGGACAGAAAAAAGTGAATTTTCTGGACTAAAAGCCTGCTTATAATATCAATTTTCATTCATTTTTGGGTCACAAACTATTCCTATCTGAAATTCCCAAGATGCTATCTTAATTTCAACTCTATATTAATCCTATCCTAAACTTGTGGAAATTAAGCAAAATATTAAGAGTTCAACTTCTTAAAAGCATCCATGCAAGCTTTGCACATACAATTACTAATCACGTACTGTCTACCTGATGCAGTGTAGAAGACACAATGGTGCAGGTTCTCTAGTGATGCACCTTCGTCTAAGAGGGGAGGGGCAAAGCTGGGGAGAGACTGCAAAAACACACAGCATTCATCTCAGGGAAATGCAGTCACATTAAGTAAGCAGACAGAACCCAGAGGAAAGTTCAATATTTAAATATAGATACTTCATCATCAATTAGACATATTTCTAATAAGACGGTTATCCTTAAGAAAATTCTCTTGGGCATGTAAAATGAAGAAACCAAAGCTGGGGAAAGCAGAATGGATCACAAATATGTTTGGACAGAATATGACTGGGTTGGTTCATGTCTTGCCTCTTTATAACAAATAACTGAATGAAGTCCTGGTCACTGCCATCGAAAGATCCTCATAGAAAGTAAAGAAAGCGCTAACAGCTAACCAACTGCCTTTGCTTTCCACTCCACTGGGCAGTTTTCGACTTTATGCCTTGGCAATGAGCGGTCTTCCCTGGAAGGTTTATGCAACATTTCTGCAAACAGCTAGCAGAACACTCTCTATGTTCCACATCCAGATAATATGGCTGTCCATCATGCACACAGAGAAACTCAATTCAATGAGCACTTACTGAGAAAGCACTGCATAGTTAGCACCATGCTTGCTACTGTCAATTAATAATTTACATTTAAACTATGGTACTTGTCCCAAAAGAACTTGCATTTCAGTTGCAGACAGAATATACTCTCAGGAAAGTGATATTCCAATTTATAAAATATAAATTTGAAATTTTGCCAGAGATGGCCAGGTAATGAGGAAGAGATCATCCAAGAAACTGAGCAATACTAGATCAAAAGAAATATAATGGCCACAATGAGAAATGAAGATAAAGGCTGTAAGTGCCCAAAAGTAAAAGTGGACAAACATGAAGCAGTATTTGGAAGTAAACAAGCAAAAAAAAAAAAAAAAAAAAAAGGCAAAAGTACAAAAAAGGCCTCCTAAGATTTTCAATGTACTTTTTCAGAAAAGAGCCACTGAAGGTATTGAAATAAACCCATTTACCATCTGTTCCAAACTATAGCTACCAGGTACAATGGGTTGCCAATATTTTCAAATTGTAAATCACCAAGAAGTTTATAATGAAATTTATTGACATTTGTCATTAACTTTTGAGATGATAAAGTATTTTGTTAGTATTCCAATAAACAGTAGAAAGAAACAAGAGTATTAATGAAAAAAAATGGATGTCTATTACCATCAAAGACCTAAGAGTAATTATGCCATATGTAAATGCAAATAGTCTAAGAATCAGAAACTTCGTATTCTGTTCAAATATAATTTAAGTCTAAGAGCAAATGTATATTTTTAGGAGTGGAAAGGGGGTATCTGCTAAATATCCGAACCCCAAAAGACAACTATGCATAGGCACTTACCAAAAAAGTGCTGGTGTATGTTTTCAATTAATCATTGAGTCTTCAAATACTGATTCAACTAGAAGTAATCACCTACTTGTTTTCTTTAACAAAGCACTAAATACAAGCATTGTTACATTACATTACCCATGAGATCGTGACATTTAACAGTAGACAGACATAAGATACTGTGACTCTATAAACAAGACAGCTGCAAGAAAAGACCAAAGATAGTCACCATTCTAAATGCGGGGAGTCTGTACCTTCTAGCGGTGGCAAATGAACTTTTCCTCACCAGTATTTTACTGTAAACGACTTACGTAACTTTGCCACCTGAGACATGAATGAAACAACAACACAGGAAGTAACTTCATCATCTACCATTTCAATACTGTATTACTAAGTACCTCAACCCAGAAACAGACTTAAAGTAGAATTATTAAAAGTTGAATTCTATGCCTGGGTAGAAGGCACTTCAGTATCCTATAGAAAATATCCAAATTTAAATCCAAGAATAAAATGCCCACAATGCTATTAGCTCACTTAAAAACTACCAAATTGAACGCAAGTTCACAAAGCTGAACTGGAAAGGGTACCTATTTCTAGGCACCCCTGGTCACTGCCCCCTACATGTCTGTTTTCCTTAAAGTTTCATCTTGAAGCATCTTATAGACAATGTTGGGACTAGATGGCTGTGAAAGCCTCTGCATTGTCAGGTTGAATTCTGAGGGGAAGGTGGGGAGGGAGTGTCAAATACCTCTCATCTCTTCAGTGACAAAGTATTTCATGAGTTTCTCTTCTAAATACACCAACTTAAGACAAAATTTTGCAAAAACATAGGAAATCTATAGTAAAAGTACATAAAGTTTAACTAGACCCTCTTCTTGACCTTGAAAACTGAAGCCAAGAGACACTTTAGTCTCTATCAGATTTTTAGAAAATAAATTTTAAAATAAAATAATTTTTATAAATTTTTTTATTTTATAAATAAAATTTATATTTTATTTATAAAATTTTTATTTTATAAATAAATAAAAATAATTTATTTAGGCAAATAAATTAATTTCTTTTTTTTTTTTTTTTTGAGACAGAGTTTCGCTCTTGTTACCCAGGCTGGAGTGCAATGGCGCGATCTTGGCTCACCGCAACCTCCGCCTCCTGGGTTCAGGCAATTCTCCTGCCTCAGCCTCCTGAGTCACTGGGATTACAGGCACGCGCCACCATACCCAGCTAATGTTTTGTATTTTTAGTAGAGACGGGGTTTCACCATGCTGACCAGGATGGTCTCGATCTCTTGACCTCGTGATCCACCCGCCTCGGCCTCCCACAGTGCTGGGATTACAGGCTTGAGCCACCGCGCCCGGCCAATTTCTTTATCTTCTAATTAACTTGACAGAAGCTCCCAAGATCACAAAAGAACCTCAACAGTTCTCAGACCATCAGAGTCCTGAACCTAAGTCTGTCACTGGCTTTCATGCTCCTCACCCCATCTCTCCCCTAACCCTGCAACTCCACATCAGTGATGGCTCCTCTTCCATGTCTGCCAAGCTAGACTTCTTGAATCCATCTTCAAGTCCTCTATCACACAGGCAGGTTACCAGGTCCAAATAGTTTCATCTTTGAACTCTTTTACACTGGTCTTCTCCCTCCCACTGCCTAAACCTGGGCTTTAACTCAAATGTAAATCCATGCCACCCATTTCTACACATTCTAGTCCAACCTTGACAATGCCACGTTACATTTCATTAGAAAATTAAATCTAATCTGGCTGGGTACAGTGGCTCACAACTGTAATCCCAACACTTTGGGAGGCCAAGGCAGGTGGATTACCTGAGGTTGGGAGTTCGACACCAGCTTGATCTGTCTCTACTAAAAATACAAAATTAGCTGGGCGTGTTGGCACATTCCTGTAATCCCAGCTGCTCAGGAGGCTGAGGCAGGAGAATCGCTTGAACCTAGGAGGTGGAGGTTGTGCTGAGCCAAGATCGCACCATTGCACTCCAGCCTGTGCAACAAGGGCAAAGCTCTATCTCAAAAAAAAGGAAGGGAAACGGAAAAGGAAACAAGTAAGAATAAAGTTGGCCAGGAGCTTGAGACCAGCCTGGCCAACATGGCGAAACCCCACCTCTACTAAAATTATAAAAATTAGCTAGGCGTGGCGGTATGCATCTGTACTCTCAGCTACTTGGGAGAATGAGGCAGAAGAATCACTTGAACCCGGAAGGCGGAGGTTGCAGTGAGCAAAGATTGTACCACTGCACTCCAGCCTGGGCAACAGAGCAAGACTCTGTCACAAAACAACAACCACCACAACCCCCAAAAACAGTGCCAATACTTAAAAACTTCTCATTCTATATCCTCCCAATTTCTACAGCAGACTAAGAGGTATAAGAAAGACATTTTTACGGATAGTGGCTGAGATTACTGACCAGAAGCCTAGAATCCTGCAGCCTCTTTAGAGCTGGTGT